GGACAACCCGCTCTGCCTCTGCACCACAGCCGCACTTCAGTGTTCTTGGTAACATCGTCTGTGGTCACCAGAAGAAAGAGTGGGTGATCTGGGAGTAAGTGGAAAGCACAACAGGCAATGGAACAGACTCTCACCTGAGGTAAAGGGCTCTGGTGGGGAACAGAATCAATACGTCACGCAGGGCTAGGTAGCTTTCTTACCATTTGCTACGACAGGGCCCAGGGCAAGGACAGGCACCAACTAATCCATGAGAAGATGCACACCGGCATGGACGAGGCCCACACCACCAAGATGGTTATGTATGTGGCAGCAAGGAACATAGACTAGGTGGTGGACTGTGCAGGAAACTTTCTTGGTCTCAAGATGTGCTGCTCGGCAGAATTCCAGCACATGAAGTTCATGATCCAGGCTGGGTAGGGACCAGGTGTCAAGGACAATTTATACTGTACCTCGGAATTACACCATAGGTTTGATGAAGCTTCATACCCTATGCCACAGACTGACATGAACCTTTATTTTCTGCAATACAGTAATTTCAGTAACTGTTAGGCAATATTTATTTAACTCCAACATCATCCGTTCAGTTTCAGTCGTGTGCAGAAACTCCACACAGTGCAGTTTTGGTGGTGTAATTGTAGAGCGACGCAGACACTCCAGCACACAAGTATAAAAGTTTTACAACAGGGAGGCTACTTCTGAACGCTACAGCGTAGGCTCTGTGTATAGTCTATGTACAACTATAATCAGTCTTCACATTAGCCACCAACAGCAGCAAGCACCTCCACACAGCAAGCAAACACACTAATCATCAGAGCTGGTGAATAGTTTATCTAGGTAAGCATTTCAAATTCCCTAAGACAATTACACTGGTGCTATGGCATTACACTGTCCTACTATCTGAAGCCTTGAGGCAGACATCATCTTAGAGATGACAGTGCCCTGTTAAGATCAGAAGCACACCTGATAAATAATAATGAGGATGTAGAGCTTGTGTTATATCAACACAGAGTAGGTAGGGCATTACAGAAGAGGAGGAGGGATCAGGACCACACTGGATGCTTCTGATCAGGAGGGGGGCTCTGTGGGGTAGTGCTGCAGGAACACAAGTTGGGGGTTGGTCAGTCCTGGCTGGGTTGAGGGTATCCGATATTGAAAAACATGAAATCCCCAATGATTCCAGGTTACATCACTGATGATGTGTCCCAGTGCACTGTAACATTTAGCTGGGCTTTTCATAAAGAGGGGCTGTGTGCTGAAAAATGATGTAACACTGCACTATTGTACAGTGTTCAGGCTCTCCAGGAAGTTGCGATCACAACAATGAACACCAGGTGAATCCTGCTTGACCCTGTAATTTTGTGTGCAACTCGCACATAATTTACCCTTCAAACAGTTTTATTCTCACTGGAACAAACTGCCTTCAATTTTTCATTAATTATACCAAAAAAGAAAAATATCCTAAAAACAACATGCACCACAATTGTTTGTAGAAGAGCTGCTGTGAAATCTGGCATTTTACCACAACAATCGCAAATAAAAAGCCTGCAGAATCCTGGAGGGACTGAGTTACATCATAGTCTTTCCTTCCTGTTGCAGCAAAGTGACTAGTTTCATTTCATATAAAGGCAGCAACATTAGCTTTTAGCCTGTGTGTAGTTACTCTTTAAAAAAGGTAAAACATTTTTTTATAAAAGGTAAACTCTAATCAGAAGTTATGAGGAAAATGATCCCAGTCTGAGTGGGGAACTAACATTTTCACCATAACGCATTATGTACTATTTAACTCTCCTGCAACTGCTTGTATATAACTGGAAGATTCAGTATCTGCAGACGATCCTGTGCTACACACTTATATTGCATATACCTCATTGGTTTACATAATCTCATTCATTTCTCTTTATCTCAGTATATTTTACTGCTTTTATTTTACACACCTTTACAATAGTTTTCAAGAACCCTATAAACTTTGTTCCAGACATTGACCAAACTGTCCAGAATCAGAAGAATCCTACTGCACTGTGGTTTTGTGATTTTCTTCACAGCCTATCAAAGCCTTGGGTGTGTTGTCGGCTGTCAGCATCATCAGGTCATTGGTGCATAGAAATACAGTTTTCCTTTCATTTCTCACAATCACATAAATTAAAATCGACTGTCTCTCACACACACTCACTCACAGGCACACACAATCTTTGCAACGTTGGAGCTGGGTTGAGGCAGAGTTCATCAGCCCTGGAAGGCATGGAGCTCCTCTTCACTGAAGCCCTGCTGCTTCAACAACCTGAAAGATGGACAAACAGAAAAGGAAATCAAGGCAAGAAACTGCTGAGTGCAAGATAAAGTGGATACATTGTAGGCCAGGGCTGAGTATGGCTACACTCTGCAGTCTACATTGCCTGTGATAGGCCTGTATCTAGTACTGGACCATAAATCTATAACTTACTGTCTGTCCATACAATCTCTCTAGACATTTAATGACCAAACCCAGAACAAATCATATGGAGATATCGTGGCCCGCAATTGTCAATGACCTCATGTCACATGAGCCACAACATGAGATGCTGTGTATGTGTATGGGTTAGTGTGAACGTAAGAGGAGAAACACAGTATGAAGGAGGGTTAAAAAAAAAAAGAAGAGGAAAAACAAAACAACAGTGAGTTTACCTGGAAGAGGTTGCCAGTCCCAAGCCCAACCTTTATTATATTTATTACTAATATTTTTGCTTATGCCAAGTGCGGCGGTTTCAAGAGATGATATAGGCACATGATTGGTATCGATAAGCCGATAAAGGCTTTGAAATGAAATCGTCATCTGCAATTTCTTCTGATATGACGGGCCGAAAGATGATGCTTGAATTATCCCATTGACTAGGCTAAATGCTTTGGCTGTCACACCCAGTGTAAGGATACACGAACCGAAGATGGTAAATGGACTGTACTTATATAGCACCTTTCTAGTCTTTCAACCACTCAATGCACTGTACACTACATGCCACACTCACCCCATTCACACACATTCATACACTGCTCAGCAG